CTAAAAATACAAAAATTAGCTGGGCATGGTGGTAGGTGCCTGTAATCCCAGCTACCTGTGAGGCTGAGGCAGGAAAATCGCTTGAATCTGGGAGACGGATGTTGCAGTGAGCCAAGATTGTGCCACTGCACTCCAGCCTGGGCAGCAGAGTGAGACTGGTTCTCAAAAAAAGAAATTACTTATAGGGCAAGAGTTAGCAAACTACAGCTCCGTGGGCCAAGTTCAGCCATATGGGTGTTTTTTTGTGTGTGATCCTTGAGCTAAAAGTGTTTTTTCTTTTTCTATTGCATTTGTGAAGGGGTATAAAAACAAACAACAAAAATCAAACAGGAAAAAAAGGAAAGCAAAAAAGAATAAGCAACTAAGACTGTATGTGGCTTCAAGGCCCAGAATACTTACATCTAGCCCTTCAAAGAAAAAGTTTGCCAACTCTAAAAAAGTTGGCAACTTCTATTCTAATCAGAATGCATGCATTTGAATCCTTATGGCCTCTTACCGTCAGTATGATCTTGAGCAAATTATCCAACTTCTGTATCTAATTTTCCTCATATGTCAAGTAGAGATGATAATATTACTTATTTTACATGATGGGAAGCTGCATATGTTAATATGATTAAAATGCTGGGACTGGAGGCTTATATATAGTAAATATTTAAGAAATGTTAGCTATCCTTATTAAGATCATCATTACCATTGTCATCAGTTCTTCAAAGGATACTTGTGGATAAGACAGCGCACATCAAACAAATAGGATTAAATAAGATAGTGCACATCAAACAAATAGGACAGTGCCTTACTTATAATAAGCACTCAATAACTGTCAGATATTATTGCTATTATCATCACCATCACCATTATCATCATTATGCTTTTCAAAGCTCTTTCACGTACATCATCTCACTAGAAGCTCCCAACCACCCAGTGGTTGCTGTTATGATCTCCCTCTAATACATGAGAAAATGAAGCTTGGAGAAATGAAGAGTTAGGAAGAGGCGGAATGTGGACTAGTGCCAGAGATTTTGCATTCTGGACCAGTGTGTCCTTTTTCCACACCGTGCTGCCTCTCCATCAAAATATCTGAGGATCTGTTGCTTGTTAGTTTTCTCCAAACAATATACTTTGCATCCTAGGAGCCTGACAAGGCAGGCAAATATGACTATGTTCCTCCCTGGCATGGTTATGCAGACAGGAAGCCGAGATAATTGGATTCCTGCCATTTGCTATCAGGACTGCATTTGTAACCAGCAAACTGCTAATGACCAAGCTTAATGGATGACGCCCTGACCAAACAAACACAACCCCCATGTAGGAACTTATTGTTTATGCCGCAGAGAAAGATACATTGCAGCAGCCAACAACCTTCTAATGGTTCCTACCCAGGGCAGAGCTGGTCTCAGAATGTGCCAGGACTCAGCCTGCCACTAGAGAAAAGCATAGGTATTTGGACTGGAGAAATGTTCAGGTGAGGAGCCAGGACATTGTTGACAGCAGAGCTTGTGTAGTCAGATCAGAACTGTTTTATTGTTTGGTGTAGGCCAAAGACTATGGCAAGACTCATTTAAGCAAAGTGTGCACAAGGATTGATGTTTAAACAAAGTTAAGATCATAGTGGTACAGCATTAGAGTGAGTTGCTGACTATAAAAAAAAAGCTAACATTTTGAAGTTAGTTTATAAAAGGAATCATTATATCTTCATATCACCCTGTTGTTTCTATAGTACTTAAACCAACTTTAGCTCAGATTTTCTTTTTTTTTAAGTCAGGAGACTCAAATAGACTTTATTGTGGAGCGGTATGTAAATTTGTTTCCTGGTATTGTTGCTGCAAAAATAATAAAAATTATGTTTAAGAAGTGTATTTGTCCATTTCACGCTGCTAATAAAGACATACCCGGACTGGATAATTTATAAAGGAAAGAGATTTAATTGACCCACAGTTCTGCAGGGCTGGGGAAGCCTCAGGAAACTTACAATCATGGAGGAAGGGGAAGTGAACACATCCTTTTTCACATGGTGGCAAGCAGAAGTCCCTAGCAAAATAAGGAAAAGTCCCTTATAAAGCCATCAGGTCTCATTAGTACTGACACACTATCATGAGAAAGGCAGCATGGGGGTAACCACCCCCATGATTCAAGTACCTCTCACTGGGTCCCTCCCACAACACATGGGGATTATGGCAACTACAATTCAAGATGAGATTTGGGAGGGGACACAGCCAAACCATATCAAGAATCTTCAGCATTGTCCTTGATGTATAGGGCCGAATAAATAAAATACATTCGTAGACAGGGTTTTGCCATGCAAGGATAAGCAAATGACATCAGCTTCCAATGATGGAAATAAGCTGTGCTTAGAAGCAGTTCTGAGACTTGTTCCCCAACTGTTGTCCAGAAGACACAGAGCTGTCGGTCTGAGGAAGAGGACAAGATGACCTATCTGCCTAGAAAGACACTCCCATGGTAAAATAGATGTAGTTCTTCCTTCTAGGGCAAAGGCAAACAAGTAAAAGGTCTTACAACTCAATATTTGTAGATAAGACCATTTTAAGTTGCCAAGAGTTCTTTCCAGGGTACAGGAGATAGAAGTAATAAGGAAAGCTGGGGTTTTTAGAAACTCAAAACAGGTCTGGGAGCTATCCAGGTGTTTGAAGCACTCAGAGCCAGTGTTCTGGGATCCCATCTCTCTGCTGACCTCTTCTTTTTGTTGGCTACATAAACCCTGTCTTCTTGGCTTTGGGTATTCCTAACACCTGCTGCCAGGCAGGTGGCTAACCACCAGCTAATCCCTGGCTTGTCACATCATCATCCACACAACAGCTAAGACAACAGCCACCTGTGCTGCTTGCTAGGCCTCTGACCTACCTCAGCTCTATCCCAGGTTGATAGGCTAAAGTCCTAACTGTACCAAACATATCTGAACTTAAGAATGGAAATATTGACCTTTTAGCATAGGCTGCCATGGTCGTTTAAAGTTTCCTACATTCTGGGAAGTGGGGGTTGGGAGAAATGTGTAACACTCCTTTTTTGTTCCAACCTTCACAATACCAATTTCAAGCGTTTGTGGTGAGAAGGAAACAGAATAATGGATGCCCAAGGGCTTTAAACGGTTATAGTTTGCAATACAAATGTAAGTGACAATCTCTATATGTAAAAACATAGGTTAAACTTGGTGTGGTTTTACATGGTCACTCCATCCAGGGAAAAATACAAACAGCCAGAGGTCTCAGGAAAACTATATTGTTAATTCAGCAAAGTTGACATGAATAGTGGACCGTGGATAAGGTATGTTATACAAATTATACAGTTCAGAAAATCTAAATTTTTGTTTTATAGTAATACCTTAAATTTCATCTTAACATTATTGTGGGACATTAATCACATTTATCATTTTAAAGTGTGTTGTGGTGCAAACAAGTGTTCATAAGCTTTATATCCTCTTCTGAAAATTTCACACAAAAAGGTTTGATTTTTTTTTGCCAGAATTTGATCACTACTTTCAGACATGTCTCTTGTTATCTACACAATGCACACTAAAAGTTCAGCCATTAAACTCTTTAAGGGTTATATCCAAATAAAACAACATTATTAAGTGACTTTAGTAAGAAGTATTAAGTAGGTATGTAAAAGTTGTTAGGATCCTAATTATATAATTATTAAGATCCAATAAAATAACATATATATGCCAAATATTGGTGATTTGTAATAATTTATAATATTATCCCATGGGTAATTTTAGCCCCACTCAGGAACATTCAACACCATTTAATTGTGGGAGATAAAGAGAGAAGGAGTGGTTTTGGACACTCTTTGTGCACAAAAATTCAACAATCCTTCTGCTATTTGAGTGAATGAATCTATTGCCTTGAAGTTTAATTTTCAGAGAAGCATGACATACAGATACCGAGATATTCAGATTTTCAACTGATTGCTTAGAGCCCATTGAAAGTTTTTGAGTTTCTTTCTTAGATTTTCACATTGTCATATGAATTACTGAAATTGGAAATTTTCATAAAATACACATAGTTTTCAGATGGTAACCTTTAGAGAGCTTTTTTGGTTCAGGATGCCAAAGCATATCATCAGGTTAATGAAATACAAGACAAATCAAGTTGAAGGAAGAAAAAACTAGAGGTCTAAATTAACAATTATATATTTAACTTAAACTTTGATTAAAATGATACTAGCTGATATTTATAAATGTAATGCCAGGCATTATGTATACGTGATGAACATGACTTACTTCACCATAACTCGCTGACAGAGGGTACTGTTATTGTCTCTATGTGTAGATGTGAAAATTGAACCACAGAGAGGTCTGAGGTTGCAAAACTACTTAGTAATGGAAATGAGATTAGAATTCTGGACATTTGACTCTCAGCACCATTGCTCAGTTAGTGGTTAGTGAAATACCTAATTGTGCTGAATCAATAAGTCATGGCTCCTTTCCCCAAAAGGCAGGTAATTTATCTGAAAGCGTGCTATTTCAATTCATGTGCAGTTGCATTTAAGAAGCCACAGTGGCTTGTATTGTTAAATCAACTGCGGAAAGTGCTGTTTGTTTAAAAGAAGGAAGGGGAGTATCACATTCAGATGGTCAGAGATTACTGTATGAAGGAAGTGGCCATATATATTCGACTATATTTTCAAAGAGTCTTCAACATATACATATTATGAAGATTAGCTACAGGAGGGAAGGGGAGGCTGAGTTTCCTTACTTGGTAAATTAAGGTAGTAATGTGCCCCGTGAACATCCCAAGGTGTTGCAAGACTCAAATGAAACACTAACTTAAGTGTGCTTCTTAGACATATAGTGTGGCATAACCATGTTGTGCAATTATTATGCTCCCCTGCTTATCCTCCTCTAAAAACACTTTAAGAATATTGGCAGGCTCATTTAGGCTGAGATCACGTGTCTACTAATCTCTATGTTTTCTTTCTTTTTTGTTTCCCAACTTCTGCTTGGCTCTCCCTCATCTGTGGCTGTTTTCTGTTTCAACTAAAAGTGGCTGTTCCCCTGTCTCCAGCTTCCTCCTGCTCTTCTGCAATAGACCAGTTCCTGTCTAACTCTGAAAGTGCTCTGTAAGTCTGTCATTGTCTAGTGAGTCTGTGTCTGCCTATTATTTCTTTCTGCAAAGTATCCTTAAGTGTCTGTTTATACTTCTGTCCTCACAGGACAAAGTTGAGGGTGCACATTTGTTGGCACAGAACTGCCAAGCCCAGATTAATATCGTTTTGGCTGTTTATTTAATTTCCTATTTTTAAATTTTTTAATGATGTGTCCAGCTTCTTCCCTGTTTTGGGAGCACAGCCTTCACAAGCCCTGTGGGAGATGAGCACTATGATGGAGCCGAACTCACCCAGTATAAATGTGATTCTTAGAAGGTCTGTCATCTGGATTACCCCTAGTGCTCCAATTCATTATTTTCTTGGCTGTAAGTGGTGGACTCCTTCATACTCCTTAAACAATTGATTGTGACTAAATAAGGTACTTCTTTAAAAAAAAGTTTTTTAAAGAGACCACATTTTAGAATAGTTTTGGGTTCACAGCATAATTGAGGGGAAGGTACAGAGATTTCCTATATGCCTCCTTACCCCACATAGGCACAGCCTCCCCAATTATCAATATCCTCCTCCAGAGTGGTAAATTTGTTACAACTGATGAACTATATTGACACATCATTATCGCCCTGAGTCCATAGTTTACATTAGAGTTCATTCTTAGTATTGTACATTCCACGGGCTTGGACAAACACATAATGACATATATGTACCACTGTGGTATTTTACAGAATAATTTCATTGCCCTAAAAAGCCCCTGTGCTCTGCCTGTTTATCTCTTCCTCCTCCTCCCCAACCCCAATGTCTGGCAACCATTGATCTTTTTATTTTCTCAATAGTTTTACCTTTTCCAGAATGTCATATTATTGAAATGTTACAGTGCATAGACTTTTCAAATTGGCTTCTTTCACTTAGTATATGCATTTAAGATTCCTTCATGTCTGTTCATGGTTTGATAGCTCATTTCATTTTCGTGCTGTATAATATTCCATTGTCAGAAGCACAGCAATTTATCCATTCACCTACTGAAAAAATTTTTGGTTGCTTTCCAGTTTACCAATTATGAATAAAGCTCCTATAAACATGTGTGCAGGTTTTTGTACTGACATTTTCAACTCCTTGGTGTCACTACCAAGGAGCTCAATTGCTGGATTGTATGATAACAGTATGTTTAGTTTTGTAAAAAAAAACTGACAAACTGTCTTCCAAAGTGGATAAACCATTTTGCATTCGAACCAATCGTGTATGAATTACTATTGCTCCTGATTTTTGCTAGCATTTGATGCTATCAGTATGATGAATTTTGGCTATTCTTATAGGTGTGTAGGGATATCTTGTCTCCATCTGCAATTCCCTGAAGATATCTGTGCACCATCTTTTCATATGCTTATTTGCCATCTATATATCTTCTTTGGTGAGATATCTGTTAAGGTCTTTGGCCCATTTTTTAAATTAGGCTGTTCATTTTGTCACTATTGAATTTTAAGAGTTCTTTGTACATTTCGGATAATAGTCCTTTATCAGGCATGTCTTGTGCAACTATTTTCTCCCAGCCTATGTCTTGCTTTATCATTCTCTTAACCATGTTTTTCAAAGAGCAAAATTTTTAACTTTAATAAAGTCTGCCTTATCAATTATTTCTTTCATGAATTGTACATTTGGTGTTATATCTAAAAAGTTGTCACCAAACCAAAAGCCATCTAGATATTTTCCTATACTATCTTGTAGAATTTTTACGGTTTTTATTTTCTATTTAAGTGTATGATGCATTTTGAGTTAATTTTTCTGCAGGATGTAAGGTCTGTGTCTAGATTCTTTTTTTTTTTTTTTTTTTTTTGCATGTCAATGTCCAGTTGTTTTACCACCATTTGTTGACAAGGCTATCTTTTCTCCCTTGTATTGCCTGCACTTCTTCATTAAAGATAAATAGACTATATTTACCCTGGTATACCTCTGGGCTCTCTGTACTGTTTTATTGATCTCTTTGTCTATTCTTTGGCCAAACTACACTGCCTTATTTACTGGAGTTTGATATTAAGTCTTGAAGTTGAGTAGTATCAGTCCTCTGACTTTATTGTCCTCCTTCAACATTGTGTTAGCTGTTCTGTGTCTTTGTCTTTTCATATAAACTTTAGAATCAGTTTTTCTGTGTCCACAAAAAACAAACAAACAAACAAACCTCACTGGGATTTTGACTGGAAATGCATTAAATCTATAAATCAGTTTGGGTAAAACTGAAATCTCGACCATATCCAGCCTTTCTATCCATGAGCATGGACTGTATCTCCATTTATGTTCTTATTTGATATTTTTCATCAGAGTTTTGTAGTTTTCTTCATATAAATCTTATACATATTTGGTTAGATTTACTTCAAAATATTTCTTTTTATACTAATGTTAATAGTAATGTATTTTTAATTTCAAATTCCACTTGTTCTTGCTAGTACATAGAAAATTGATTGACTTTTGTATATTAACCTTGTATCCTGCAAACTTGCTATAATTGTTTATTAGTTTTAGGATTTTTTTGTGGAATCTTTTGTATATTCTACTTAGATGAGCATAATTGTATCATCTGCAAAGAAATTTTTATTTTTTTCTTCACAATTTGTAAACTTTTAATTTGCTTTTCTTTTTAAAATTTTTTATTTGATGTTTCAGGATATGTGTGCAGGATGTGCAGGTTTGTTACATAGGTAAACATGTGCCATGCTGGTTTGCTGCACCTATCAACCCATCACCTAGGTATTAAGGTGCATGCATTAGCTACTTACCTTGATGCTCTCCCTCTTCTGGTCCATCCTCACTGACAGGCCCCAGTGTGTGCTGTTCCCTTCCCTGTGTTCACGTGTTCTCATTGTTCAGTTCCCACTTATAAGTGAGAACATGTGGTGTTTGGTTTTCTGTTCCTTGTCTTGTCTCATTGCATTAGCTAGGTCTTCCAGTACAATCTTGAAAAGCATTGGTGACAGAGGACATTCTTGCCTTATTCCTGATCTTAGGGGAAATCTTTTTCTCACCATAAAGCATGGTTTTGGCTGTGGGTTTTGTGTCAATTTTCTAAATCAAATTAATAAAGTTCTCTTCTAGTCTTAGTTTACTGAGAGCTTTTTGGATCATGAATTGATGTTACATTTTGTCAAATGCTTTTTATGCATTTGTTGATATGATTGTGTGATTTTTTCCTTTTTAGCCTATTGATATGATGGATTACATTAGTTGATTTTCAAAAGTTGTATTTGCCCTACATACCTGAGATAAATCCCACTTAGTTGGGTAGACAATTCTGTGTATACATTGCTAGACTTGATTTGCTAATATTTTGTTGATGATTTTTGCACCTATGTCCACAAGTGTTATTGATTTATAGGGTTTTTTGTTTTTTGCAATGTTTTTGGTTTTAGTACAGGACAGTGCTAAATTCAAAGAATGAGGCAGAAATTATTCTCTCTGCTTGTATCTTCTGAAACAATTCTCTATTTATAATAGAGAATTGGTATAATTTCTTCCTTCTGTGTTTGGTAGAATTCACCTGTGAACCCATCTTAGCCTAGTGCTTTCTGATTTGAAAGGTTATTAATTTTTATTTAATTTCTTTAATATATATATATAAGCCTATTCATATTGTCTATTTCTTCTTGTGTGAGTTTTGGCAGAATGTGTCTTTCAAAGAGTTGGTCAGTTTCATCTAGGTTATCAAATTTGTGGGCATAGAGTATTTTGTAGTACTTGATTATTTTTGATTATGCCTTTAATGGCCATGGTGTCTATAGTGATGTCACTTCTTTCATTTTTTATATTAGTAATATTTGTTCTTTTTCTTTCTCTTGCTTTATTTTTGCTCAGATTGACTAGAGATTATCAATTTTACTGATGTTTTCGAAGAACCAGCTTTTGGTTTTATTGACTTTCACTATGGATTTCTTATTTTCAGTTTCACTGGATTCTCCCCTAATTTGTATTATTTCATACTACTTGCTTTGGATTTATTTTCCTCTTCTTAAATCATAAAGTATTTTATGAGTTAAATATGTTATAACTTATTTTGAGATTTCTTTTTCAATCCATGTGTTATTTAGAAGTGTGTTATTGAATCTCCAAGGATTTCAGGATTTTCCACCTATCTTTCTGTTATTGATTTCTACTTTAATTCCACAGTTGTCTGAGAGCATTGTGTAATTTCTATTCTTTTACATTTGGTAAGGTATGCTTTATGTAGAATGTGAAATATCTTGGTGAATATTCCATATGAACTTGAGAAGAATGTCTATTCTGCTGTTGTTGGGTAAGGTAGTCTGTTGATATAAATTTTATTGATTCATAGTACTGTTGAGTCCAGTTATGCCCCTTAGCTTATTTTCTACCTTCTGGATCTGTTCATTTATGATAGATAAATGTTGAAGTCTGGAGTTATTATTGTGAATTTAGCTATTTCTCCTTGCACTTCTTAGTTTTTGCCTCATGTATTTTGGTGTTCTGTTCTTAGGTGTATGCAATGTTAAGGATTATTGTATCTTCTTGGAGAACTGACCCCTTTATTATTATGTAATGCCCCTCTTTATCCCTGATAAGTTTTCTGCTCTGAAGTGTGTTCTGTTTAAAATTAATATAACTGCTCTCATTTTATTTTGATTAATATTAGCTTGGTATATCTTTCTCCATCCACTTACTCTTAATCTATATGTGTCTTTATATTTAAAGTGGGTTTCCTATACACAATATATAGTTTTAATGGGTGTATTTACACCATTGTCATTCAAACTGATTATTAATACAGCTAAATTAATTAATTGTCTTTGATTTGTTGCCCTTTCTCTTTGTTCTTATTTTTGTCTTCTCTTTTTCTACCTTTTTTGTTTTAAATAAGTATTTTATGTTATTCCATTTTCTATCTTTTCTATCATATCAGTTTAACTTCTGATTTTACTTTTTTTAGTGGTTGCTCTAGAGTTGGCAAAATACATTTAATAACTAATTTAAGTCCACTTTCAAATAACACTATACAACTTTTTGTTAGGTTA